CCAGAAAACAACTATCCACTACAAACCATTTCAAAAGATCATCGTGTATTTATTCAGTCACCTACATTGCTCAACTTGAAATTCATTTATGGCGATAGTGGTCAATAAGCCTGAAAAAGTAAAACTTGAGGCCAGTGCAAGGGAAATGGCTATTTTAGCTGTGGGAACATTTTTCAGCCTGATAGTTTCACCCACCCTGGATTTCCTGGTGGCCCTGGGAGGTGGCAGTCTTGCTGTATCTGGGTCACAGGTCAGTGAGGAGTACCGTCACCCCAGACAAGTTATTACACTCTGACACTTGGCCCACAGTCCTTTGTTGTCAAAGGTACGGCCATTGACTCACCTGTACTACACTGGGAACTTTGAGTTTTTATGGCTGTAATAGTTGATTTGTGTCAATAACCCCTACCTTTCCTCTGATTCTCTCCCACTTTCCTCATGGCTCACACATCCTGGGTATTCAAGAAATGCTTGAATGTATGAAAGAATGAATGGGAGACTAATCTGGGATCTAGGACTTTGACTACATTTTTTATTAGTTGAGGCAAAGTATTTCCATTAGTGAATCTGTCCTATTCCCATAAATCAAAGTTTAAGGTTGTATCTGGGACTTTTCCTAATTGAGTGGGGCAGGCTTTACAATAAGGCCTTCTTTGTAACTCCTCATCCATCATCTTTCGATATATACACTCCTAATATCTCCTTCTCCAATACTAACCTTATCTCAACAGATTAATGTGGCATGCCTATTAACACGAGGCATTGTAGGAGATGCTCCAGAGGAAGCTTACCATTTATTAGAGGAACCATAAATCCAGATACATTGTCTTAAGTGGAGGCATAAGCAGTGTGGTGTGCAAGCACATAAGAAGAGCAATTAATTCTGATTGATTGGGGTGAAAGGGTCTGTGAAGGTCGGGATGAGCTTCATAGAGGAGGTAGCAAAAAGAAAAACCTCTTAAATGCTAAAAAAAAAAACTCTATACATACATATCATCAGATAAATTGCCCTCTACATAGGTAATCGGAGCCCTGGTGGTACAGTGGATAAGAGCTCAGAGGCTAACCAAAGGCTGGCAGTTCAAGTCCACCAGTTGCTCCCTGGAAACCCTATGGGGCAGTTCTACTCTGTCCCGTAGGATCACTATGACTCGGAATTGACACAACAGCAACGGGTTTGGTTTGTTTGTTTCATGTAGGTAACTTAGTGCCTTAACTTCAACCCTTTGAAGGACCCCTACTTTAAAATACAAATACCGTTAGGAGAGGTAATACATTTCACTGCTTATTAGTTGTAGTGACTATTCCATATTTTCTATCATATATTAGAGAATTAATGCATTTATTACATCAGGTACTTCAGTCAGAGGAAGTGGGAAAGGACTATAGAAAGGTGAGTGGAGCCTAGAGGTCCTAACTCTAATCTTTCCTCTGCACATCAAAGTAACACCATGGTTAAAGAGCCGACTGTGGAGTCAGAAGTCCTGAAGTTGAATCCTGTTTTCCTAATTTGCTGGCTGTATGCACTGGGAAGATCAATGAATCTCTCTAGGCCTTAGTTTCTTTATCTGCAAAATAGGGATAATAACAGTACCTATATGACAGAGTTATTGTAAAGTTAAAGGAAATAGTATTTACAAAATACTTAGTTGATGCCTGGCACATAATAAGCATTCAAGAAATTCTGCACTAGTAGTAATAGTAATAATAATAGAAGGAGAATGACGAAGAGGGGGAATAAATATGATGATGATGATGATTGGCTTTGAATTCCAGAGAGGTAGGTTCTAATCTCAGCTCTGTTACTTGCCAACCATAAGACAATTACTTTACCTCAGCCTCTATTTGTACGTCGGTGAAAAACCCTTAGAGTCATTACGAGAATTTAATGACAGATGCTTAAGGCGTGTGGGTCTTGCCCCCAAAGAACCTCAGAGACACACACCCTCCTCTGGAAATGGCTTAATAACTCCCCTAAGCCCTTTTTGCTGGTCAGTGGGACCTTCATCAAGGACCTTATATAAAAGGGCAGAAAGAAGAAGAAGGTGAGGTGAGCTCTCTCCACAAACTGAGAAAAGCTACGGAGTGGAGAAGGTGGCTCTACCCATCACAGAAGGGAATCAGAAACTCCTGAACAAGGTCAAAATAAGAATTTCTACAGCTTTGTAAGAGTTGACAACTCCCCCTGTCCTGACTTGGGGTCTCCTAGCAGCTTCCCTGGAGTCGTTGTTGTTGTTAATTGCAATTGAGTTGATTCTGACTCCTAGCGACCCTATGTGTGCAGAGTAGAACTGCTCCACAGAGTTTTCAAAGCTGTGTGACCTTTAGGAAGCAGATCACCAGGCCTGCCTTCTAAGTCACCTCTGAGTGGGTTAGAACTGCCAACCTTTCGGCTAGTAGTTGAGTGCTGAAGCATTTTCGTCACCCAAGGACTTTGTGAACTGCCACAAAAACCTTAAAAGTAAGCAAGTGAGAAAAGGCAGTAGTGAGAAGAGCAGGACACTTTAGAAGCTTAGGGGAGCAGGGCAACAGAGAGAAGACGGGATGCCCACCACATGGGGTGGAGGCTGAGAGGTGGGGGGAATGCCAGCACCTTGGGATGACTGGGTATAAATTCAGAGAGGCTATGAGAGGGCTCACCCCTCCCACCTTCCATAGAAATAAAATAAGAAACTCCTGCATGGTTTTCTTTGCAGACAGCAGGACCTGAGTGCTCCTTTTCATATATAGCTCATTTTGGGGAGAGAAGGAAGGAACTCAGGAAGAGACAGGTAGATAGAAAGAGTGGGTCACCTCTCCAGGAAGAGGGAAAGGCAGACAGAGGCCCCAGAGCCAGTGCCGAAGTAAAGGAGAGCATGGGACCAGGCAAAGGACACTGCAGGAGGAAGACAGCTGGGAAGCCCCAACTGAGGGACAAGAGAGGCAAACTTCACCATTGCCAGGACCCACCCACCTCTCAAGGTATTATTAAACAGACCACAGTGACTCAGTCACTGCAGCAGAATCATCAGCTCTCAGAGCTGCTGCCACTCATCTCTGAAATGAGTTTGGGTGGAGACACCCAGCAATAGCTGAGTGGTATGGATCAAGAGTGAGCCACGTGGCTTAATCAGGTGCATGGAAGCAGCTGACAAATTACAGTGTGATTTGTCATCATCTCAGAGCTCGGCAAGTGTTTGTCCCTGAAAGAATCGATACCTGTAGGGAAAAGCGCCATATTTTTAGAAACTCCTGGATGGGTAATTTATTTCAAGTGAGTGGAGAGTTTATTTATGTTGATGCCCCTACAGATCCAATGGACAGTATAGTAACACGAAGCCAAAAAATGCTATCATTTCTTCGAATCAATTTGTCCCTTTGAACAGCTGTACCTTGAAGCTCTCAGAGATAAATTCACTCCCCGTGCTAAAGCTCTACCCGGGAAACTTTCCAATTCCACCTTCAGCACTACTACCGTCTATTTGCATAGCATGCTACACAACTCAAAACCTTTCCACGTGGATTTTATCTCCTGAGGCACAAATGAGATAGGGGCAGGCATGTGGTGTTAGCCTCATTCTACAGATGAAGAAACTGAGACTCAAAGAATTGAACACAGTATTAGTCACTATGGGGTAGAGTTAGGAAGCAAGATCTCCCCACCTACATCTGTGTCCCCCCACTCAATTGTGCTATAAGAGCTTGTACAACTGAAAGACCTAAAGAAAGTAGAGAAACAGTCAGGGGTGTGTTTAAAATTCTTAGCTGTAAGAATGTTCACCCAGAGGCAGTGTGCTGCTCAGGTAAAGAACAGACGGTATGGAGTCAGACTCGGACTCAAATCCAGCCCTGGTATGGCCATGGACAGCCTACTAACTTCTCTGAGCCTCAGTTTTCCCGTCTCTAAAGAGTCCATAATTAAAGTTCCTACTTCACAGAGTGTTTATAAGCTTGAAAAAAGATAATAACTCATGTAAAGTTCTCACCATAGTGTCTGGCAGAAGTAAGAGTTCAGTAAATGCTAGTTATTTCATTAGCTACTGTTATCCCAGCAGAGTTCTTGGGTTGTGCAAACAGCACACGTAGCTGCTAAATGAAAAGTTGGAGGTTCAAGTCCACCGAGAGGTGCCTCAGGAGAAAGTCCTGGAGATCTACTTCCAAAAAATCAGCCAATGAAAACCCCGTGGAGCACAGTTCTACTCTGACACACATGGGGTCACCATGGATTAGAATCAACTCAGTGGCGACTATTTTACTTTCCCAGAATTTTTAAAATAGTAAGATAAATAGAAACGATGTAAATATTCAATAGTGAAATGAAGTGTAATACATTCATACAATCACTTTCCATGCAAATGTTAGTCAAGATGTAGAAAAAATTAATAATTTTAAAATACTCAAGATATATGAACACTAAACCTTATTTCTGAAATGTGTAAGTGTATATGTGTGTGTGCACACACATGCATATGTGTGTGGATATCTTTTTTAAAAGACTGGAAGTATTATATGCACAAGAATATTAGCAGTGGCTATCTCTATACAGCCAGATGCAGATTCATAATCCCTTCTTTTGATCATCTTTCTCTGTGCTGTTCAATGTGGCTATTTAAATTTAAATTAATTAAAATTATAAACTCAATTCCTCATTCCCACATTTCAAGTGCTCAGTAGCTACAGGTGGCTGATGGTTTCCACATTGGACAGTGCAGACTTAGAACATTTTCATGCTCACGGTAAGTCCTATTGGAGAGCGTTGGTCTAGATACTCAAACCCAGGCTTGCTGGTGAAATGTGTTCAGGGCAAGGACCTCCCTCTGCCTAGAATCCAACTTTTCATTTGTATCTACTTTCTCCTCCTTAACGAGGATTTAACTTTTCTCCTGATACAACTATCACAGCATGACAAAGCAGGGATTACCTTATTTGCAATGGTTCCAGCAGTGATTAGCTCTTCTGATGATCCTATTAAAACTACATCCTTCTGACTTAATAACCTCACAGTGTCCTCTCTCCCATAGGAGGCACAGTTCAAACCGGAACATTTCCACAATACCATTGTGTGTGAGAAACCCAACAACAACCTCAACAAATTTAAGGGCTATATGTAAGTATTAAGTATCTAATGCCCACAGGCTGCTTGTAAATATCTCTTCTGCAACTAGAAAACATATTTTCTTGAAATGGCCAAACAGACATCTGGACTCTGAGGAAATGCATTTCTTGTTATCATAAAGAAGATCCAGAGAAACCTAAGTAAAGTTGGGAAACTTTTCTCATCTTTTTTTGTTGGAGTGACAGTTAATTATCTTGCAGGGTTAAACTCACTAATGGTTCTTTAACCCGATGATGAAATAACATCAGAAACAAGACCACTCTCTGACTCAGGGGAGACTGTTGCTGTTAAGCGCCATCAAGTCGGTCCTGACTCATAGCAACCCTATGTACAACAGAATGAAACACTACCCGGTCCTGCACCATATTCACAATTGTTGCCATGATTGAACCCATTGTTGCAGTCGCTATGTCAATCCATCTTGTTGAGGGTCTTCCTCTTTTACACTGACCCTCTACTTTGCCAAGCATGATGTCCTTCTCAAGGACTGGTCCCTGCTGATAACACATCCAAAGTAAGTGAGATGAAGTCTCACCATTCTCACTTCTAGGGAGGCAAATATGAATTAAGATTGGTTCTCTAAAAGAGCCTCTATTACGTTGTCATTAAGAACACAGACCTTGGAGTTTAGCAGACCTGGGTTTAAAATCTGGTTCTACACTTACAAGCTGTGTGACCTTGGGTAAATAAATTAACCTCTCTGGGCCTTGATTTCCACACCTGTAAAATAAAGATTGTAGTCCCTTGCAGTGCAAACAGTTAACGTGCTCAGCTGTAAACTGAAAGTTTGGAAGTTCAAGTCCACTTGGAAGTACATTGGAAGAAAGGCCCAGCAACCTACTTCTGAAAATTAGCCATTGAAAACCTTTTGGAGTAATTCTACTCTAACACACACAGGGTCGCCATTAGTCAGAGTCAGCTCAATGGCAGCTGGTTTTGATTTTCTAAAACAAAGATTATAATATCTACATCACAGGATTTTTCTCTCTGGGAATTAAGTTGTTTAGCACATGCAAAGCCCTTAGCACAGTACCTGGCACCCTTGAAATACTCAGTTAATGGTAGCTGTTGCTGGAGCTCTGGTGGTGTAGTAGTTAAGAGCTTGGCTGCTAACCAAAAGGTCAGCAGTTCAAATCCACCAGCCACTCCTTGAAAATTCTATGGGGCAGTTCTACTCTGTCCTGTAAGGTCACTATGAGTCGAAATCCACTCAACAGCAATGGGTTTGGTTTGGTTTTTGCTGCTAGTATATTATTGTTATTTTTATTCTTCAACTTTGTTTCTACCATCCATTGAAAAAAAGATCCTGCTCTCACATCAGACTAATAGTGCTATGCAAAATAAGAGCAATAGTAATAGGTGAATAAATGCCCTCATGTGGTATTTTAACAGTTTATGGAGTTATTTCACAGACTATCACCTCTTTTAACCTTTACAACAACCCAAGGAAGCAAGTTATTATGAGTCCCACATTACTATGGGGAAATAATAATCTAAGACTTTTCAACATTCACCCAAAGTCACAACACAGCAAGTAAAAGACAAAGCCAGTACTTAAATTCAGGCCTTTCGTTTCCAACTCCAGTGTGTCATCCATTGCCATGCAGTCCAGAGCTCAGCCAAGGTATGTATGGTGGCTGCTCTGCCAGTAGGGTCTGAAATGAGGCCTAGGAGACTTCTCGGGATGTGGATGTCTATGCAGTCCTTACACTCACATTTTCTGAGGTCATACGGGATGTAAGAGGAACAATGCAAGAGGGGAGAGGATAAGAACAATACCAGAGAAAGAGTGGCTTTTAAAGGCAAATTATTTTTAAAATGCACAGAGAAAACAGATGGAGACAGGCAGAGAAGGGCGTGAACTCACGGGGAAGTGGAGTTGTTTGTTGCAGGTATCTGGTGAGACAGAGCTCTAGCAAGGAATGCCAGGGTTTGTGGATTTGGCTCATGCCAGGTTACCCACGCCTTGAGTCATTTTCCTTATCCCCTTAGACAGCAGCCTTATTGCTGGGTTTCTATTTGTGATCCTTTCTCCCCCAACTGCTCCTGCCAGCAGCCAGCCTTTCTCAGCTTTCAACCTGGGCTTGGCCTCACCCATCTCAGACAGGTTTCAGGGCAGAACTTTCCAGCTTCACTCAATGCAGGATCTCCTTTCCCTGGTTGCTATCCCTAGAGACCAGTCTTTCCCCACCTGCCAGGGCCTCATGGATAAACCCTCTCGACCAGTCGGTCAGTCCAGTGTAGCCAACCCATGGGATGGATGCAGGACAATTGTCCAGGGTGGTCCTGCCTCCTCTGCTTGGCAAGGAGAGTGTCCTCGGGTCCAGCATTCACAAATAATCTTCACCCTCTTCCTGAGAAAACCTACTGAACTGAGGGCTCCAGGTTTCCCCCAAAGTTTCTGCGGGTTTCCCTTAATTAAGGAGTTTTCCTGTGACTGCCCAGACTGGCTAAAAGATGAACAGCTTTTAATGCTCTGCTTTAAAAATTAGGGGTGTCAGATTTGAAAATGGAACTTTTAAACAAAAAGATTTCTCTTGAGCAGTGGTTTTCAACTAGGGGCAATTTTCCCTCCTCTCACTCTACCCCCACAGATATTTGGCAATGTCTGGAGATGTTTTTGGCTATCACAGCTGAGGGAGGAAAGTGCATCTGACATCTAGTGGGTAGAGGCCAAGGACACTGCCAAGCATCCTACAATGCACACGACAGCTCCCACAGCGAAGAATTATCCAGTCCAAATTGTCAATACAGCCAAAGTTGAAAAACGCTGCTCTAGTGTCAGTTAAATAGAGCATCCCTGTAAACAAAAAACACTAAATAGAACAACAGGAGCTATGAGATAGCTAACCCTTTTCTACCATCCAGTGAAACAGGAACATTGCAACTAGGAGAGGTAGAAGCCTTTATCATATATTATCACCTCAGAGTATCCTAAAAATGTTATTTCAGCCACAAGCAACTGACAGGGAAGCATTCAAGCTTCACTAGCCCAATGTTCTACCCACAGCCAGCTCCCCCCTTGATAGAGAGAGGCAGTGATGTTGTTCCTAAACTTCAGCCATTCTTGTCTCATCTTGACGGTTTGTATCACATTCATAAAACATTTATATTTTTATTTACAAATTCTTTATTGAGTTATTTTTTTTCTTAAATTTATTCCAAAAGAAAAATTTGTATCTCTGGCCTGTGGGAAACCAGTATCACTTGCCATACATAGAAGGTAATAGTAAAAATTAGTACAATTAAATCAAAACTGTGTCATTCTATTCTAACCACAGACTACTGCTTGCCAAAGCCTACTCCATGTTAAAAAGGAAGATAAGTAGGTGATAGAAAAAGGTTAATGATATACCAGCACCAAACTGAGACATCCTCCTTGATAGAGTAAGAAGAACTGAAAATGGAAATAACTCTCTGATTCAGGTTAGGCTAATGAGGTACTACTTGGGGAACCCTACTGTAGTGAAATCGAATTAGGTTTGGTGCCCGTGGCCTGGATTCCCAAGTCCTAGAATGTTCCATGTGCTAGGTGTGTGGCTCTGAAAAAATCAGCCTCTCCGAGCTTCAGCTTTCTCTTGAGTAAGGATAACCATCTGCTTACTTCCCTGAGCTATGAGAGTTAAATTAAACAATGTAAGTAAACCTACTGCATAAATACAGTAAAGAATTAATAGTATTAAAAGTCATATAGAGCAGCAGTATAGCACTCTGGTGTCAGACTTCCTACACTTAAATTTTCATTCTGCCATTACTAGCTCTATGAACTTGCCTCAGTGTCCATATCAATAAAGTGGTTATGATAATATGACCTATCTTATAAGGCTGTCATGAAGCTTAATTGAGTTGATACACGTAAAACACTTAAAATGGGACATAGAGAACTGAAGTGTTTAAGAACTATCAGGAGAAAAAACCCTCAGGGTTCAGATTGTCCTTTCTCTGAGTAATGTTTTTGGAAAGTTATAGTAAAAATTCTTGAAAATCCCAAAAGAATGGCATCAGTGTAGAATAAGGATCAGACCTCAGGTAATAACTGGAAGTGCCTGGACTCAGGAGTCTAGTATGAGGTGGAAAACTGCAACCTTCCCCCTGGCTAGAGGAAGAAACTCTCTCTGCCTTAAGAAGCTGCTTTCCAGTAAACTGGGCACTCGGGCCACTTCCATCTCCTATAAGGTCTGTTTATTTTATGAGAGACTGAGTGAGGGAAGGATGGGACAGGAGGCTGAGGGAGTGGTGTATCTCAGAAGGAGATGCTCCTGCGTGGTATGGAAAGAGGGCCTCTCTAGGGTCTTCTATGGACTCAGGCGTTCAGTATGTGCAGTTCTTGTCCCAGCAACTACTTGAATGAGCATGTGAACGTGTCCTAAAGGGAACACAGCTCCGGTCTGGTACAGCCAGAAGCCAATTCCCCACATTTTGGCCCTACAACCATTTTGAGTGCGCAAATTGAAGCCAAGCCTTTTTCAGCGCCAAGTCCTGCCTTTTGTGTGGCTAAATAATGATGTCCACAGGGGTGGACAAATGCCTTCTCATGGTCCAGCCTCCACCTAGGCCTCCGAGGAGAAATGAGGAGTGTGCTTGAATGTGAAAGAGATTAGATTCTGAGTCAGTATCACTCCTCTGGTAGGGAGGAGAGGGATCATGTTCACTCTCCACTTCTAGCTTAGCGACACTAACCAAAGACAGTATGGAGAGACCACCAAACCACCCCATCTTTCTTCGTTCTCAGGGAGCATCCTGACAAGACCAGGACTGGCTTTGGCAGTGAGAGTCTTCTGCTTCGAGGCTGCACCATCAGAAACACTGAGATGGCCATTGGCATTGTCATCTACGCAGGTCATTGTCCTTGGACAGTTTCTTTTGTCCCTTTTCTCTGTTGTCTCTCCTCTATTCTCTCCCCCCACCCCTGCCCCCTGCCTCCAAGTCCATCTTCATTCAGCAAGTCCTTGCCACAGCTCTAAGGGGTAATGTCATGTTACTTCCCGTTTCTCAACTAAGCAAACTGAGACTGGGAGTCACAGTGGCTAACTCCATCCACAAGAGACTTAATAAGATTCTGAGTTACTCTTCTGAACAAGACGGGGAGAGGGACCCACATTCATTCACTTCTTCTAGTTTTGTGATACTAATTAAAGACAAGATGGAAGTTACCTCCTTGAGCCTGAGGAATAATCTCACCAAACTTAGCCTCACCTTTTTGCCTCAATGTCCTCATTTGTACAATAAGAACATATGTACCTGCCTTACAGAGCACTCATGAGAATTAAATGACCCAGTGTATGTAAAGCTTCCAGCACTGTGTCTAGCAAAGCGAGGGATCATGAGTTTTAGTTGTTGTTTTTGCACTTACATTTGTATTATTATCGTTATTAACTTTATGGCTCAAGATATATATGGTGGTCCCTTTCTCTTGCCCACTTTGATTTTGCTTTCCAATGGAAAGAAGATGACAGCAGCACCTCTTACAATGAAATCTAAAGTCTTTGAGGACAGTCTTATGACCGCTATATCCCGAGTACCTACTGCCCAGTGCTTAATAAATGTCTGTACTCTATAAATATCTATTATTAAGTGAACAACCGAGAGACTTCTCTGACTTTAGAGGAAAGCATCTCCCTGGAGTATCTACCTTTGGTAGAATGCTCCAGAATACATTTTTTAAGGTCTCCCATCCACTAATATACTTGGGACACCTTGAAATATTGTTTGTTGTTTTTATTGTTGTTTGTTTGGGTTGGGTTGGGTTGGGTTGGGTTATTTGTTTGGGTCTGAGTAGTACGCCATTTTTCATGAACATGGAAGAGCATTTAAACATTGATCTACTCTAAAATTCACTTTTTAGGATTGTCAAAGGAAAATTTTTTTTTTTTTTTAATAATGTCACAATCTAGCTGGCTTTCCCTAATTTGGGGGAGGGGAGTTGTATTTGGCGGTTCAGGTGACTGCTTTTAATTAAGGGTCTTTGGCAGTGGAATTCAACGTCATCTGGTAGACCTACTGAAAATGACTCTCGAGAAAAAAGTAGGCTTAGAGCTTTGCTTGTCTGCTTAAACAGAAACAAAGAAGAAGCGTTGAGTGAGTGATGGAAGCCAGACATGAAGGGGCAGATGTGGAGAGAGGGTTAACTGTGGCTCTGGGAGTCAGGCTGCCTGGGGTTGAAACCCACTCACTTGCTACATGTTCCTAGGCAAGTTGACTAAACTTTCAATACAAAGGGGACTAATGGTTCCTACCTCATAGGGTTATAAAGCTCAAATGAGATTATTTGTGGAAAAAGGGCTTAACACAATGCCTGGCACGTTTAAAAAAGTAAGCAAAATGGTAATAATCATTTTTAGTGTTGTTATCGAGAGCAGGGGTCTCAACCTCGGCATTATTGACACTTTGGGCTGGATAATTCTTTGTTGTGGGGGACCGTTCTGTAGGATTTTTAGCAGCATCCCTGGCCTCTACCCACTAGATGCCAAGAGCAACTTTCCCTCCCCCCAGTTGTGACGACCAAAAATCTCTTGAGACATTGCCATTCTCCCCTGGGGCAGAGAGGGCAAAATCACCCTTGGTTGGGAACGTGTGGTCTTGAATTATGGATGGGCAAAATATAAGCACCTCAGAGCCAGAGGCCCAGAAAGGCCAAGGTGAGATTTCCAGAAGGAAGAGATCCAGTGAGCATACATGTGCTCCTCCCAGCTGCCATTATGAAGATGATGACAATCCTAAGAATGTAAAAGTAAACATTTGTTGAGTCCCTACTGTGTAGTACCAGAACTATTTTCGGTGCTTTATGTGTATTGATCCACCCTCTCCCCATATACACACAACCATTATCCCCCCCTTTACAGATGAGGAACTTGAGGTACAAAGAGATTAACTCACTCAAGGCCACAGGTCTACTGAGATTAACTCCCTGTAACCCAGGGCCAAGTACCTGCAGAACCGAGCTCTGTCTGACTCTAGAGCCCATGTTCTAACTGCCACACCATACTGCCTCCCCCTTAGCCCAGCTCTTGCCAAAAGAACAGAAGGATCCACAAAGACTTTCAGAAGGTGGGGAGCAGGTGAGTGAAGGGGTGACCTCACTACCCCTTGTGTGTGTGGAGCCTGAGGCAGGGGGAAAGTCCACGGCCCCAGCAGCACCGTCTGAAAGAGCCCATGGTGCCACAGGAACCTCTCACGACTGCAGCAACTTGAGTCTAATTTAATAAGCCTGGAGTCTATTCACTCCCACTGTTTTGTTGCCACTTTAAATCCACAAAGCAACCAGCTAAACAGCATTAAAACCATTCGCTGCTGGAGCTGATGTATTGGTTTTCTTTAATTGTGCACAGAAAGTATGTGACTGGCGTTTTCTAATTTGACTCCTGAGGCGACAGCACAGTAGTTAAAATTCAGCAGCCCCAGAGGACGGGCTCCGACTGAAGACAGAATCGAGGTTTGGCTCTCAGTTCTTAGCCGTGGGGCCTTGGGCAAGACACTTGCAATCTCTAAACCTGGCTTTCCTTACCTTTAAAATAGGGATAATAACAGCACCTAGCTCATAGGACTTTTGTGAGGATTCTAGAAGAAAATTCATTAAAAGTCTCAGCACAGTGCCCAGTCCTGAGTATTGTTATTGTTTATTTTCCACAGTGAAGCGATTACTGTTCTCACTTCCTGCCTAAACTTTGACACTTGACAGGATTTATAAATATCAATTCATGAACTCATTCAACAAATACTTAGGTTCCTACCATGTCCTAGGAGTCCCTGGGTGATCCAAGTGGTTAACGCACTTGGCTTCTTACTGAAAGCTTGGAAATTCAAGTCCACCCAGCGGCACCTCAGAAGAAAGCCCTGGTGATCTACTTCCAAAAACTCAGCCATTGAAAATTCATTGGAGCACAGTTCTGCTCTGACACACATGAGGCCACCATAAGTCAGAGTTGACTCAAGGGCAACTGGTTACTGGTTGCCATATTCTAAGCACTGTGGCATGAGGGAAGGACGCACAGTCCTGGCTTATGGGCTAGTAGCATTGTCTAGCAGGGGCCGTGGACAATGACACAGGGCTGAGAGGGGTAAGGTGTGGGGCTCTGTGGGAGCTCACAACAAGGGCACCTACTCTAGTCTAAGGGGTCATGGAAATGGCTTCCCAGAAGCAGAGGCATTTAGATGAGACCCCGGGGACAAGAAAGTGTCAGCCAAACTAAGAAGTGAAGGAAGAATGTTCCAGGCAAAGGAACAAGAAGAGTGAATCACAAGCTAAGGACCAAACTAGACAATCATCTTTCCAGCTGGGGCTGGGAAAGGCGGTTGGAAGAGCTGCTCTCCAGATTGGCTCTGCTCCTAGATTGCTGGGTCGCCTTGGGCAGGTAATTTACCTTCTCAGAGCCTCACTCCTCATTTGTAAAATGGGAATGCTAATCTGGTTTACAAAAAGAGAAGGAAAAAAAAGATGAAAACCAAACCAGTTGCCATGGAGTCGATTGGAGACACCATGCGTTGCAGAGTAGAACCTTTCGGAAGCAGATCACCAGGCCTTTCTTCTACAGTGCCACTCAGCGGGTTCAAACTGCCAACCTTTCGGTTACTAATCCAGCACTTAACTGTTTGTGCCACCCAGCGACTCCTACAAAAAGAGAAAAGGAATATGAATATTTCTGCAATCTGTAAAGTGTTGTGCAGCGTCATTTATTGAGCTTTGGCACAGCCTCTAAATGCATCAGAAGAGGAAGAATTCAGCCTATGTTGACAGAGAACATGCTGAAGAGAAGGGAGGTTCTTAATGGAGCCTTTCATGATTGGGACAGACTAGGCTGTTTCTCAGGAGAATAAAACCAATCTGCTTACCATGCATTTGCTCGTTCAGTCAACAAATATTTTGTGAGGTCCTCCTGCAGTTCTAGGATAGTCTATTAGTTCTGAGCAGGGGCCCTGCAGGCTGCCTGTGTTCCCATTCTGGCTCTGCCACCATCAGCTGCGTGACCTCTCGATTCTTGTTTCTTTGTCTCTGAAAAGTGAAAAATAATAGTCCCATCCTGCTAGGATTCTGTGATTAAAGGAACTAATTCATGTAAAGCTCTAATAACAAGGTCTGGCACATATACGCTAAAGGAATGTTTGAGATTATTATCACAGGCCTATTTTCTTAAAAAGGAGCCTTGGTTGCCCAGTGGTTAAGCACGCCGGTGCTAACTGAAAGGTTGGTAGTTAAGACCCACCAGCAGCTCTGCAGAAGAAAGATGTGGCAGTCTGTTTCCGTAAAGATACAGCCTTGGAAACCCTGTGGGGCAGTTCTGCTCTGTCCTCGGATGGCTGTGAGTTGGAACTGACTTGACGGCAACGGGTTTATTTTCTTAAAAATCGAGAGAAGGTACCTTCTAGTGGAAGGAAAAATAGACTGGGAATCAGAATCCTGGTTCTCATTTTGTCTCTGATGTTAATTAATTCTTTCATTTTGGGGAAGCCCCTCCCCCTCTCTGGTCCTCAGTGTCCCCAAATGCAAAATGAGGTGACTGGATGAGATCTGTAGTTTCAAACTTTGTTGTTCTTTCTTTGCACAAAATTTTATGTGGCACTCCAAGATAGGAGGGGAGCCTCTTGAGGCTAATGCTGGCGCGGGGCACAAACTCTACCCCCTGCATGCGGTGGCTCTGCCTGATGCACGGGGATGCTCAATAAATATCTGCTGACACACTTTGTGAGGCCTCTATAGCTGTTCTCAGCAACGTCCCTGAAGCAGGACAAGTTCTGGTTAGAGAACGAAGCCTCAGTTTCACAACAAGCTCCTGTGAGAAGAGCCAAGTGTGCATTCCAGGCCAGAGGCAATCAGGTGTTGATTTCCCCGTTCTCTCTCAAAGGCCATGACACAAAAGCCATGCTGAACAACAGCGGCCCACGCTACAAACGCAGCAAGATCGAGCGGCGCATGAACACAGATGTCTTCTCCTGCATCGGGCTCCTCTTCGTCATGTGCCTTATCGGAGCTGTAGGTATGGAATGTTTCAGAAAGAACAACAACACTGTAGCCTTCTGTCTCTTTGGGCAAGTTGCTTCAACTCTATGAGTCACAGTTTCCTTACCGGTTAAGTGAGGATAGTAAAAATCTATCCTGTCTAGGTTAACGAGATGCTAATGAGACAAAACACAAGAGAATCTCTCCTAAAAGGATTAACCCATTGTCGTCGAGTAAATTTTGACTCATAGCGATCCTATAGGACAGGGTAGAACTGCCCCATAGAGTTTCCAAGGAGAGCCTGGTGGATTCAAACTGCTAACCTTTTGATTAGCAGTGTAGCACTTAACCACAACACCAGGGTTTCCACTACGAGTCGGAATCAACTCGACAGCAACAGGATCCCAAAAGGATTACGTGCTATTTAAATATTAGGAATTTTCATCTGTCATTTATTTGTTCAAGAAATACTTACTGAACCTGCGCGCTCTGTTAGCACTGGAGGATAACAAGATGAATCAATCACGGGATCAGTCCTCATAGAGCTCATAATATAGAGCTAGAGGGAGTCCAACACATGATCAGGATCAATAATACAATCTGCCACCCTCAATGAGGGGATGCACACAGGTGCTGTATTCGTTTCCTACTGCTGGCACAAATTACCACAGAATTAGTGGTTTAAAACATCCCAAATGTATTCCCTTGCAGTTCTGGAAGTCAGAAGTCCAAAATCATTTTCATAGTGTGTCTTAGTTACAGAGGGCTACCATAACAGAAATACCACAAGTGGGGGCTTTAAAGAACAGAAATTTCTTTTCTCACAGTTCTAGAGGATAAAAGTCCAAATCAGGGTCTGGGCTGTGTCAATTTGTTCTGTGAGACTCTCTCCTGGTTTTGGTGTCTGCCAGCAATCCTTGGCATTTTTCCACTCGTAGATCTTCAAATGTTGTCTGTCTAGCCCCTGTGTATGTCTCTGTGTCTATTCTGCTCCTTTTATAACTCAGACGTGATTAAGCTGAGGAGACTCACCCTACACTGCCATGACCTCATTAACCTAACATAAAAGAAAACTCCTATTTCCAAAGAAGATTGTATTTACAGGTACAGGAATTAGGACTTCAACACATATTTGGGGAAGACACAATTCAATCCGTAGCACTGGCTTCAGGTCAAAGTTGTCGGCAGAGCTGGTTCCTTCTAGAGGTTCTGAGGGAAGGTTGTTTCCTTACCTTTTCTAGCTTCTAATGGATATCTGTATTCCTTGGCTTGCGGCCCCTTCTTCTATCTTCAAGGTACATCACTCTAATCTCTGCTCATACCACATTCTCCTCTTCTGTGATAGTATCTCTCTCTGCCACCTACTTATAGGGACCCTAGTGATTACATTGGGCCCACCTGGATAATCCAGGCTACATTCTCTATCTGAAGATCCTTAATCACATTTGCAAAGTCCCTTCTGTCATATAAAGTAGAATATTAGAAGGGTCCATAGATTAGAACATGGACATCTTGGGGCACTATTATTTAGCCTACCACAAGCATTTATGGGAGCACTAAGGAAGCAAGTCTTCCTTGCAGAGATGGGTGCAGTTAGGAGTTTGCCAGAGGAGGTGGATGATGGGGGCAACTATAGGGGCAGGACAGGATAGACAGCTATGAGGAGAAAGAGAGATGGCACAAACAAAGCATATTTTATGCACAGAATCATTTTATGCAGGGAAACAGTTGACTGTTTGATGTTGCAAGAGCAAGGCCAGGAATGGAGCCCTAATCAGAACCATGATGTGGCCAAGTTCTGTAACTGCTGTAAGTAGGAAGAGCTGTGGAAGGGATTAAGTAGGAGTGATCTGGAGGCATTTAAGTTGTAGGCAAAGAGGGACCCTCACTGGAGCTCTTACCCACTGCTACCCTTCTACGGCTTCACTCTAAGCATGGTTCTCAGGGCCGTGTGGGAGACCCCAAAAGGAACCAGGGAAGCTCAAAAGGAAGAACTCAAGTGCTGAGTCCAGAACCCCCTGCTGCCCCCAAACCAGTGAGCAGCGGTGGTGTTTGCTCTTCACTTGCTGTAGTCAGGAATCCTACCCATTACTGTTTTTAGAAAGAGAGTGTCTGAAAGGCCAAGGCCTTCCTGGGAATCAGAGAGAGTTTGTGTGCTGCCACAGTCAAGATGCTCTGATGAAGTCGTGTGGGCTGCCTGGAGTTTTTAATTAATATGTTCTCCAGATGGATCTAATAGCACTCTGCATGAAGGTGGCTCACTGCTGTAAGAACACCTGGAGGGGGGCAGGAAGCAGGCCCAGAAGAAAACAGTCCCCAGTGGCCACCTCTGCCCCTCAGAGGCGCTGCATATCTGTTTCCTCTGCTTCAGTATGTGCTTTTCAGGGAATGTCAGAGCTGGAAAGGATATTTGAGATCATCTCATTCTGTCTCCAGAGGAAGGAAGTTAATGATAAAGAGGTCATCACATGAGATAAGCTACAGGCAAACCAGAATCACCTTGGAAGATTCCTCAAAATAATAAATAAATTGAGAAAGTAATGGAGGGGGGCAGAACTCTATTCTGTCTGAGAATGATACACAGCAGCAGACCTCTGTTGGTGCCTACTTAAAGCACAGCTTCTAAGGGAGGTGAAAGCTCTCAAGCATTCCAGGGTTCTTTGCCACATGTTTACATTGATTTTGTAAAGGTGGTGTTTCTTCTTTCTTTGTCTGGGATGTCCTGCCCAGACTTTTCTAACCACACAACAGCTGCCCAGGTGTCAGGACCTCTCAAGGCCTCCTCCTTCATGTAAGCTTCTCTGGTTTCTCCCAAGGTCTTGTCTAGATCCTCTGAAGGGCAGTGGCTCTTACTCTATGTCATGTGTTTGACTCTTGGTCATTTTCTCTGTTATATTACCTTCAAACTGCATCGTGTCTGTAAGTTTCCTTTCCTCTAATGTGTATGATAGCATTGGTCCAGGGCCCTGGGTGAGAAATGGTCTTCAGGCAGGCAGCATTCCTTATGTCTTTTATTCCCTATAATTCATACCCTGGAGCTGGGAAAGGCAGCTGGTGTTTATTGAGCACATACCACATGCCAGTTACTAGGCTAAGAGCATTATACACACTAGGTTATTCTATTCTCACAGTAACTCTATGGGGAATGTAGAATTACTAATTAACAGCTGAGGAGACTGAGATTCAGAAATCTCTATAGTAGGTGCCAGATACACTTCATCTTATATAATCCTCAGATGCTGGGTGTTATTATCCCCATTTTGTAAACAAGGAAACAGAGGATTCAGTCTCTATCTGGCACTGTTGCCAAGGGCTCTCACAGCATTTCAGGCTCTGGCATAGCCCCTCTCACACTGTACAGTACTTCTGCTTTTTACTTGTCTGTTTCCATAACTCAGTAGGGAGCTCCTTAAGGACAGGACCCAGGACTAACTCCTCCTTGAATATATTAAATGTTGGCTAGAAGGGTGGATGGATGGATGGATGGATGGATGGATGGATGGATGGATGGATGGGTGGATGGGTGGATGGGTGGGTGGGTGG